CTTTGGGGGTGCACGGCGGGAGCGACAGAGAGCCGCGGCTGCGGGCACTTCCCTGGGCAGCGGGGATCCCGGCCCGGGGTCCCGCCGGCCCACGGGGCTCGCCGCCCGCCAGCGCCCCTTCGGCGCAGCCCCTCACGCCCAGCGCAAAGGGCTCTCACCTGCAGGTTCACGATATACAGCTTTGGGCGCCGAGTGGGCGGCTTGCTCATGCACCAAAGACGCGGGTATTTCTTCAAAACCTGCCACAAAATAGAGGTTGTCAGCACAGCCAAAGGCACGCATAACTGCGAACCGTATCAGCGAGAGGAAAAGGAATGTATTACCAGGAGGGGAAAGAGGGAGGAAGAGAGACTATCACAGATGGTGGGCGAATCCTGACACCAGAGTTTACAGTTGTCTGTTTGGGAGGAGACTGCTCAGCACCAAGGTGTATCACCAAGAGGGAATGCTGCTAACAATCTTCACCGAGTCTCTAAAGTTACCTTTAAGCTGGAACCCAGACAAAGAATCACATCTGCTTTGCTTGCAGCCTCTGTTGCTGCTTCCCAGTTCAGGGGCTGTCTCAACGTCCCCTTCTCCCCAAAGTGGACGATTGTATCTCTCAACTGTGCCCCACACTTGTGGCACATCCTGCCAGTGTGATGCCTGTGCAGGGCTGTGCGCTCCGTCACATCAAATACTCGCACGTACTCTCTGTTGGGTGTACAGGAAGTGCAGACCTGGTGTGGGATGAAAGCAAAAAAAGCAGTTACATCATCAGCATCTAGCCCGTGAAAGGCCAGGAGCCAGCCAGTTCTCTCAGAAGAGCACTTTTTGGGGACAATAAATTGGAAGCAGTAAAAGGGATCATTAGGGACCAGATGCTGACTTAGAAAAGTTTGGAAAACCTCAGCTCAAAAGTGGAATTAGAGGGAGCCTGTTGGCTATGTGACAGGAGGGATTTTAGAGGTCGGAGGAAGAGTAGTCAGAAGCAGAAGGCTCTAGCAAGAGAAAGAGCTACAGAGTTGTACAGAACACTGTTTTGGCGCTTGCTAATTAGTTCACCCCAAACCCGATGGCCTGAAGATACGAACTGAGCAGAGGCTAGCCCTTGTACTAATTCTTTTTGAGCTAGTAAGAGATAAATAGCTTACATTATCTTCTCGTGAGGCCGCCTGACAGTGACTTTATCCTGTTGTGGCCACTCACCTCTATGTACATGTTTCCATGAAGCTCAGATATTGCTGCTCGGGGTAACCCACTCCGCAGGTGCAGCCCATCACAATTTTGAGACACCACATGCTGCACCTTGAAGGGAATAAAACAGGGAGCTAACACACACGCAGAAGACTGAAAGTATTACTCAAATGCAGGTGACACATATGTCTCAGTACACACCAGAGAGCCCCATACATCAGAGCAGAACCCCCAGAACAAAAGCGTGGAGAGCAGACCTTTATGAAAGCTAAATGAAGAGACTCATCCTGCTGAACAAAGCTCTACTGGGTCTGGCTGATGTTGTGGCCATGTCCCCAGACCAGCCTCACCAGGAGGTGAATACAAGGTGTTAAAGAAAAGGCACCAGAGGGGGAAAACTGCCAGAGCTACAGTCTGGAGCTAGCCTAATGAAGACAGCTGTACGTGAGCACAGGTGCTTTTTCCTACATGGATGTGTAGCCACCCAAGTAAAAACAGTAGTTAGGCAATAACCTGAAAAGCCTTTTTTCCCTGTTGGATTTTATTTACCACACTTAGACAGGGGACCACAAGTGAGGTGCAGAAAAAAAATCTTACCAGGTGATGCCTGTGTAGGCAGGCAATGCTCATATGGGTGAGCGTGGGCTCTGCCTCACTCAGATCTGTAGCCCTGACAAGCAGCAAGAAAAAAAAATATGGAGGAATTGCCATTAATCTCTCTCTTAGTATCAGCTTTCTGCTACGCAGCTCAGAATTTGTCTCCTTACCTGATGCTCCTGCCCTTCTGCAGCAATGTCCATATGCCATTAGGGCCTCTGTAGTCCGGGATTGAAGCTGCCTGTGTTATCGGGAGAGGAAAACGAGGCTTGACGGGAAGGTTCATACCTCTTTTCCACAAACACATCAACCCGCTCTCACCCAGGAGAGTCAGATACACCCCATTCACAGGTGCTTTTTCATTCACTCCAAGTTTTCTAGCACAGTGTTTCCCTAATCGCAGGAAAACCTTCTTTTCATATGTTTTCTCTCTCTCTAGCATCTCTTCTCCTACCTTACAGCTCTCATTTTCACCTCCAGTATTTATTTTCCCCAGTTTTACTATCATGGAATCCCTTCAGAGCTCTTTTTGACCCTTGGGACTTGCAGTTTTTCCCTACACAGAACTCAATTCTTGCAGCTTTCTTTAGTCTCTGATTTCTGGTACCTTGCACTCAGCATTCTTTAGCAAAACTACTCATGACATTAGCAGTCATCCACTTTGCCCAGAATCATGCTCTGCATCAGCAGAGACTGTAGAAAAGGGAAAGAAAAAATAAGGTTCCCATCTCAGACTGCAGACAAAGGTGACGTATGTCACATTTGAAGAGGCAGAACCAGATTTCCACTTTCCTAGAGGCCACTGAAACCAAACATTTCTTAAACTGTCATTTATAAGTTCTCATAACCACCAGCTACTCCTACTTGTCCATTTACACAGAGAATGTTAATTAGCTAACTTGTTTTTAGGTTTTACGTCAAAAATAGTTGAAGAGACTTGAATGAAGTAAGACTAGCAATCATCTTGTTTAAGAAGCACGTTCTTCATACAGTCACAGAGGTGATGCAGCTTCAGAATCTCTCAGGCAGCAGGCACAAGCCCAAGATGCAAACTAGCAAACGTCCTGGTACGGTTTGCCGTGCAACAGTGTTAACGCAGCATCTCAGACTCGTAACACACACCATGTAGTCATTTGGAAACCACACAAATAGCCTGAACAATATTACAACACTCCTGAAGGAGCTCCCAAAGCTCCAGCCACTCACCCCCAAAGAATCCTACCGTACTGATCCCGGCTCCTGTATAGATGACAAGGTGCTTGGCATTCCGGACAGCAGCAGCCAGCTCAGTCACCTTTCTCTTTAACTCCTCTGGTTCATCACATACCTAGAAAATAAAACTGGGCAAGTTCATACGTTTCTGAGATACAGTGCATCACTGAATCGGAAAGAACAGGAAGCTCCCTGAAAGTTTTAATATGGGCATAGCCGAGCCAGAAAAAGCAACACAAATATTATCAGAAGTGGTTTCCAAATATAAAAACACGGGCGCTGTTCATGGAAGATCGAGGGAAAAACCTTCCTGGTGAGCAGCACCTGCAGATCAGATCCGTCCTCCTGAGAGATGTGCCCACGTAGTACACACGCAAAAAACCACATGCATTTGGAAAACACGCTTTGGGAATCTGGCAGCCGCCAAACTAGGGCTGATGCAGAGGCACACCGAAGGGCAAACACGGGAGGCCACAACCTCGGGGCCCAGTGGCGTTCCCTGTAAGGCGGCTCAGCAGCTCTTCACCAAGGCCCGCCGCAGCTCTAGAGCTCCCCC